GTTAAATACGATCATATAATCCCTTTTGATAATGTCAAATGATCATATAATCCCTTTTGATAATCCAATATACTTAGACATGCGATATTATATCGTTTATTTATATAATAGTGTACTTTTTGTAGTTTTACTTTACCAAATAAAAATTATTTTTACTTATTAAAAATTATTTTAGATTTAATTTAATTTAGTTAAAATGATCATATAATACCTATTGTCGCCTACGTGTCACGACACTTGGTGAAAAGCTGAAATGTCAAGTGTCGCTGTCTCGTGGTCTAGCTACGAGATCTGGTTTTATTTATTAGTGATATAATATGATATGAACTTATTTTATTGTCTAAACTTTTTTTTTTTTTGATGAAAAAGATATCTAAACTTATTTTACTTTATTTGTTTAGACATCTTCACATAAAAAAAAAAAAAAAGTTAAGATAAATTAAAATAAATTGACAAATAAGCACGAGTATATTTATCAGAATTAATCTTAACTTTTTATTTGGTTTGAACTTATTTCATCCCTTTGAATTTTTTGAAATTATTTTGTCTAAACTTATTATTGTATCTGATATTGTTTTGTTTGAAATAAGATATAAAAAAATAAAAAATATAAAGAAGAAGATGCTAAAAATAATATGAAACACACAGACCCTAAAATGACATATTGTTCACATCATACTTCAAAGTGTAGAGGATCCAATATAGATATTTGATGCAAAATGATTACGTATTGTGTTAGTACCACAATTTATGTCTTTTAGTGAGCATTCAAGCACTGTACTTTCCGTCAAAAAACAAAAAAACACTGTACTTGATATATACTTTCTCCGTTCTTTTTTAGATGACACGATTTGACTTTTGCATTATTCACAAATAACACTTTGACTAGCTTTTGTGATTTTTAGCTACGATAAAACATAATCATGTGGGATCTTATTTGAATCGTCTTAATGTATATTTTATTAATATCCACTTTTTATAATTTTACAATGTTGATAATGGGAGATATAACTCGTGAAAATTGTGCGTTGGCAAACGTGATAAAAGAAACATGTCATCTATTAAGGAACGGAGGAAGTATGGCTTAATTAACCGGTTTATATGAGTCCAGAAATTGTTTTCTTCACCTGAAACAAGGTTATTTGGTCTGATTTTAATAGGTCTAATCAGCTTTGATCTGAAATTTTTTTAGTATAGTCTTTAATTTGATCTGTTTTAATCTGATTTTATTTTTATCATGTTTTTACACTAATCTACCAAAAAAAAAAATCATTATTAAATTAGATCATGTTAGATTCATCTTATTGTGTAATATGTAATTTCCATAAACTTTTTGTTTATACACAATTTAAGATATTCAACAATAAGTAAACAAGAATTAAAAATTCTAATCTAGTTTAATGTGAATATATCTGGTCTTCTGATCTTATCTAATTTTGACAATAATAAGTAACAATTGAAATAAGTTGAAGAGAACAAGTTGATATACTTTCTCCTAGATTAATTGCAACAGTACATATATAGTATGCATAAAGTTTAGGAAAATTTGTATTTTACCACCTACAAGTAACCCACTTTTTGAAATTACCACCCAAAAAAAGTTTTATTTTAAATTAGTACCCATAAAAGACAAAAAAAAAAATACAAAAAAAAAAGAAAAAGATTTACCACTTTCCGTTAAAATAACCGTTCAGTTTAACGTTTTGAAAAAAATTCTTCGATTTTTGAGGCAAAAACATGCTCTTTAGATGTTTTGGGGGTCATTTTTACGTTTGGATCCGATTTGAAGTCTGAATTTACCAAAAAAAAATGATTGAAAATGTCTTGTTTTGCGTACTAAAAGATACCTCATTTTGCGTGACATGTGCAAAATGAGGCATTTTCATTAATTATTTGTCAATTTTGACATCAAATTAGTCCTTTTGGCCAAAAATAACCCCCAAAACTTCTAAAGAGCATATTTTTGGCACGGAAATCGATTTTTTTTTAAAACGTTAGGTTTAACGGATTTGGTGGTGAAATCTAATTTTTTTTTGTCTTTTATGGGTGATAATTTAAAATAATTTTTTTTTGGGTGGTTATTTCAAAAAGTGGGTTATTTGTGGGTGGTATAATACAAAATCTCCTAAAGTTTAAGGGAAAATGTTGGCAAATGCGGGGATTTTATAATATCATTAATAGTTAGGGGTGCGTTTGTTCATCAAGGAAAGGGAGAGAGTTTACGAATGGGAAAAGAGGAGAATGGAAAATGACTCCCTTTAGTATAAAATTAGTGTGTAGCCCGAGCGTTGTATCGAGTTGCTACTTTAATTATTCTTTGTGATTATATGTATTTGATATTTATGGTGTCTTTTTTTAATTAATTAAACCTTGTGATTTGTAATTATATACATTTATTTTCATGTTTATAATATGGTTGATAATTGGCTTAAATGGTTAAATTATCATCCTTCTTATAAGAGGTTGGGTGTTCAAATCTTCTTATCCTCATGTTTTTATAGGGAGTATGTTGGTTGATTGGGTGACGTGGCATAATAATGATTAAGGTTGATTGAGTGGTGATATGACATAATGAAAGGTTGAGTAGGTGACATAACGTAATGAAAAGGTCGGGGTCTACATGGCACATAGATGTTCTTAGGAACGCCTTTTAATAAATTATATTATAGATAGATGCAGTTTGGAATCAACCCATCTTCCTTCTCTCACCATGTTACAATGCATTCACACTCATGACACCATCATCCCTCCTTATCATCGCATCACTGCCCTCGGCCCACCCCTCCCTACTCACGAGCTGTTGTCTCCACTGCCCTTTCCCTGCCACCGTACTACCACCCCGACCCACCTTTCCATCTCGCTGCCGCCCCTTATCTATTTCTTCTCTATTTTTTAATTTCAATTAGCCTTGTTATATATATTTGAAGTTTTGAAGATTAGATTTGACCTTAAAAACTCCGGATTTAGAGTTTATGCTTGGATCTAAACTTTATTATATATTAAGAAGCATTTCTAAAATGTTTATGTGCCACATGACACCCTCTTATATTAAACTTGTCACGTGATCTTTAAACTATGAGCATATTCTAATGAAATAATTAATCAAAAATACTTATCATGAGGTTTGAACTCAAACACTAAAACATGCATTAGAAGTCTTACCATTCACCTTATTTATCGATTAATCATGCTTCTATACTCAACTCGTTTAATTATTTGCTTTGATAAGTAGGCAAACAACATTATATTCAAGCAACAATAAAAAGTATCAATTTTAATTTGTAGTTGTTTTTCGTAGAGCGTGGTATAAGGGAGTGTGTAAGGAAGGACTCTAGTTTGCGGATTGGTTCTTGGAATGTAGGGTCTTTTACGGGAAAATTGGCAGAAGTGGTAGAAGTGATGAAGAGAAGACGTGTAAACATCATGTGTCTCCAAGAGACGAGGTGGACAGGAGAAGGGGCTCGAGGCTTGGTTTTGGGGTATAAGGTGTGGTACGTTGGACAGGAAACGAGCCACATTACTAAGAATGGTAGAGCTAGGAATGAAGTTGGTGTGATTCTTGATGATAGATTGTCGAAAGAGGTCATGTAATCGAGGTCTATCAGAAGAATGATAAGTTGATAAGAGTGAAGTTGCTATGTGGCAAGGAGATTTTGAATGTTATTAGTGCTTATGCTCCCCAAGTTGGTTTAGATACAGAAGAGAAACGACAATCTTGGGAGGATTTAGATGAGGTGGTATAGGGTTTCCACCCACACAGAGAAATTATATATTGGAGGCGTTTTAAATGGGCATGTTGGGGTAAGCCGAGATGGCTTAGAGAGTGTTCATGGATCGGAGACTTTGGGTATGGGCAGAGGGACGCAGGTGATGAGGCTATTATGGATTTTGCCCAATCATATGACTTAATTTTGGCTAATACTTGGTTTAAGAAGCGGGATTCCCACTTGATAACTTTCCAGAGTGGAGCAAATGCCACACAAATAGACTTCCTACTCATAAGGAGCACGAATAGACAAAGTTGCCTAAAATGCAAGGTCATCCCATGAGAGAATGTGGTCACCCAACACTGGCTTTTGGTTATGACTATTTGTTTAAAAGAGAAGGCAAAGAAAAATTGAAGACAAGAGGAGCCAGGGATAAGATGGTGGACTCTAAGGGATGCAAATGTTAAGGTTTTTACAGAAAAAGTAATCAAGGAGGCGAATTGGGATGGACAGGTGGATCCAGACATGACTTGGGTACGAATGAGGAACTGTTTCTTAAGAGTGGCCAAAGAGGTCTTAGGGGAATCAAAGGGGATTCGATGTAGAGAGATACTTTGTGGTGGAATGAAGACGTGAAAGCAATAATTAAGCAAAAAAGGGAATGCTATAAAGCCTTGGAAAAATGTAGGAGTGAAAAAACTTTTTCAGCGTATAAGGAGGCTACGAGTAAGGCAAAGGCAGCTATTCACCAAGCGAAAGAAAAGGCTTATCAGGAGGTTTATGAAAAGCTTGACTCCAAGGAGGGAGAAAAGATCATTTATAAGATGGCGAAGAGAAGACAAGAGGCAAGGAAGGATATTGGCATGGTAAAGTGTGTCAAAGATAATAACCAAATTGTTCTAGTACAAGATGAGGACATCAAGGACAGGTGGAAGGGGTACTTCGATGAATTGTTTAATGGAAGTCATGGAGTTGTGACAGGAGATACCTCAGTGAGTGATGAAAAAATCAACGTGGAGTATGTGTGGAGGATTAGGAGAGTAGAGGTGGAGATTGAACTGGAGAAGATGAAGCCTAGCTAAGAAGGCGGTTGGCCCTAATGGTATACCGATATAGGTGTGGAGGTGTTTGGGTAAGATTGATTGGTTAACATACCTCTTTAACAAGATATGGAGGGCTACAAGGAACCTGCAAGATTATTGGAGGAAAAACACCTTGGTCTCGGTCTATAAAAACAAAGGAGATGCTCAAGATTGTTCTAACTATCGAGGGATTAAGCTTATGACCCACACTATGAAGTTATGGGAAAGAGTGATCGAACATAGGTTGAGGGCATGCACAAGCATTTTGGATAACCAATTTGGTTTTATTCCTGGGAGATCTATTATATATGGAAGCAATCCATTTGATAAGACAAATGATGAGTTTTATAGGGTAAAGAAGAAGGATCTTCATATGGTCTTTATTGATTTAGAGAAGGCATATGACAAGGTGCCAAGAGAGGTACTTTGGTGAGAAGTGTTTACAAAAGGTATTCCACGAAGGTACGTGGACCTGGTTAAGGAAATGTATCAGAATGTGTCAACAAATGTGAGGACATGTGGAGGGTTGATAAAAGATTTTCCTATTACAATTAAGGCTGTTCAAAAATATCCGAATCGAATTATCCAACCCGAAAATCCGCCGATCCGATCCGAAAATTCAGATATCCAATCCAAAATTTTGGATTCGGATATTTCGGATATCCGTAAAAATACCGGATATTCGGATCGAATTTTTTCGGATTGACTTTTCCGAAACTATTTTTTTAAAATAAAAAATAACTTTTGTACATGCTTTAGCCTACTGGCCTTTAGGTTTTGGTTTCTCAGTTTCTCGTTTTCTTTCACTGCCTCACTCTATTCTCAAAGACCCAAACCCTAATCGACGCACCGTTTACTCCCAAACGCAACACCGCTAAGTCACCCACGGCCACCAGCTTAATTGACGCACCTCTCGGCTCTCTCACTGCTGCCCAGACAAGCCGCCCCACCAACCATTGGTCAGACCAGCCGCATAAGTGTCCTCTCAAGTTTCAGCCAATCACAAGTAATTTTTAACCTTTAATTCTTTTAATTTTTCCATTAATTTACTAAATGATCTGAATTTCAATAATTCTAGTTACTACTTAGTTAGGGTTAATTTGGGGTTTTTTAAAAAAAATTTTGGAAATTTTGAAATTTCTCACCCTTTTGTGTTAGAATTTCTGAAATATTTTTTTTATGGATTTGTCTTGTAGGTTGTCCCATCAAGTATTGATGAGAATGAAGACCATGAAAATATAAATACTACTGAAAGTCCTGAAAATGACGATGAAAATGACAATGATGATGCAATAGAAAAGGAAATCCCAAAGAAAAAAAAAAAGAAAATGATCTGGTGCTTCTAGTAAGGAGAATAAAGTGCCTTGTAAGAAGAAGAAAAAATCCTCCTGGTGGGATCGTTACACTTTGACCGACAATCCAAATTACGCTTCTTACATATATTGTAAGTCACTTATTGATTGTGCAAGTACTAATGGAACCACCACTTTGAAGAATCATGTTACAAGATGCAAGTTGTATCCTCTAAATATGGATGTGAAGAACAAGTTCATTGAACTTCAGAGAGAAAGAAAAAAATAAATAAATAAAAAATAAACAAACAATGATGATGGGAATCTTGAAACTATAAGTGTTCCTAAATTGTGGGAATTTGATCATGATCACCGTGGAAAAGAGCTTGTAAAAATGATTATAGTGGATGAATTGCCTTTTGCTTTTGTTGAACGTCAAGGTTTTCGTGGATTTGTCAAATCCTTAAATCCCCTACTTGTCATTCCTTCACGTTCTACCACTACTCGAGATTTCTATAAACTCTTTATTGAAGAAAGTAAGAAACTTAAATCAACTTTCATGAAATTGAACTCCAAGGTTTGTTTAACCACATATACTTGGACTTCTAGTAAAATCTAAGTTATATGTGCTTGACGCATATTTCATTGATGATGATTGGACTTTGCATAAGAAGATCATTAATTTTTGTTCTGTTGCTGGACATTCTGGGCAAATAATTGGCAAAATTATGGAAAAGTGTTAGAATGCAAGGGGTGTGAAAAGCATTTTGACTGTGATCGTTGACAATGCAAGCTTTAACGATCTTGCAATTGATAACTTGAGAAGAAGACTTAATATTTGGGAGTCAAGTGTGTTAGATGGTCAATATTTGCATGTGAGATGCTCTGCTCATATTATTAATTTGATTGTGAAAGAAGGTTTGAAAGATCTTGATGGCTCTATCAAGGAAATCCGTACTCTTGTTAGGTTTGTTCGGTCCTCTCCCGTTAGGCTTCAAAAGTTTAAAGCTTGCATAAAGGAAGAGAAAGAAGATAGTTAAAGTCTTGTTGTTTTGGATGTGGATACAAGGTGGAATTCTACTTTTCTAATGCTCGAATCCGCTATCAAATTTAAAAAGTCTTTTGCTAGTTTGTGCATGAAAGATTCTGCTTGCTTTAAGGAACTTAGGAAGGTGGGTGGTAGTCCAACGGAAGAATATTGGAACAAGGTAAGATTCTTTATACCTATCTTGAACATTTTCTATGAAGTAACATTAAGAATTAGGAGTCATTATGTGGCCTCTAACACTTATATACATAAGATTTATGGGACTATATACATGATTGAGTCATGATTATGAAGGTGTTAGGAAAATGGCAAAACAAATGAAAGAAAAGCATGAAAAATATTATGGAAATGTTGAGAATATCAATGTTTTGGTGTTTGTGGGTGTAATCCTTGACCCTAGGCATAAGATGAATTATGTTAATTGGATTGTGCGGGATTCCTATGATGAAGCAAGAACCACTCTCTTGATCTCTAAAATCAAGGTTGTCTTTTACACTTTGTTCAAAACTTATTTAGCCTCCATGCATGTCTACTACACAAGATTGTTTCTCCTCTTCTAATGCAACTTCTATCCCTTACACTTCAAATGTGCCTATGAGAAGTGGGGAATCAGGGAGTAAATATAAAGTTGACCCTCAACAAATCATGACTTCAAAGTATGAAAGGGATACTGGTTACTCATTTATTAATGCAGGGAAAACTGAGTTGGAGAAGTATTTAGAGGATGCATGTGAGCAATTTAACTCTAGCTTTGATATCTTAGCATAGTGGAAGGATCAACGTAAGAGATATCCTTTACTTTACAAAATGGCTATGGATGTGCTTTCCATACCCATTTAATTTCCACCGTGAGGGCGTGCACTTGATTCATTCCTCACGTCATTGACTACAAAAATGGTTGAAGCTCTAGTTTGCACTCAAGATTGGTTACGTACTTCTCAAACACCGCTTTTTATAGAGGAGAATTTGCTTGCTCTAGAAGAAATGGAAGAAGGTAAGTCTTTATTTTTTTTTTCTTTTTTTTTTTTTTAGTTATAACCAAAATTTGTTGTATTTGCTAATTGCTAGGCATGAAAGATTTAACCTTGGAGCAACCAGATATCATTATTGATGAAACAATTGACACCAGTTTGGATGATCAACGACTTTGAACCTGGAAAGTTGGAAGCTTTGCTTGAAGACTTGGAGTACTTGTGGACTCTATTTTGTGGATTCTATTTTCTGGATTTTGTTTTGTAATTGTGAATAAGTAGTAAACTTGTGAGTTGTGAATTTGTGATGTGGGATTATTTGTTAACTTTCTGCCTTTTATTTGTTGTTATAATTTTGCAGACATATGCATCTTAATAGGTTGTAAGACACTAAGACTTGGTTTATAAAAGCAATTAGTTTTATAAAGATAAGCAACAGCCAACAAGCAGGTCAATATAAAAACAAACGTCTTTTTTAAAAAAAGATAATCGGGTTCGGATTTGGATATCCGATCCGAAAATTTCAGATCGGATTCGGATCGCAATATCCTTGATCCGAACTTTCGGGTATCCGAATTTTCGGATCGGATCGGATCCAATATCCGACATTAAACAACCCTAATTACAATTGGATTGCACCAAAAGTCTACATTAAGCCCTTTTCTTTTTGCAACGGTTCTAGATGAAGAAACCAGACCAATTAAAGATGAGGTTTCATGATGTATGTTGTTTGCAGATGATATCGTTTTGGTGGATGAAACTAATATAGATGGGGTTAATGCCAAATTGGAGCAATGGAGGCAAAGGTTGGAATCTAGAGGGTTTAAAGCCGGAGTAAAACTGAATATTTGGTATGCCGCTTTGGTACTCAATGAGGGACAAGCGATGATGTGGTGAGTTTGGATATATGGAAAGGACTTGACCATGAGTGAATGTTTTAAATATCTTGGGTCGATCATCTTGAAAAATGGCGACATTGATCAAGACGTAGCCCACAGGATTAAGTTGGGGTGGCTTAAATGGAGAGCGGCCATGGGAGTGTTATGTGACCGAAGCATTCCCTTACAGTTGAAGGAAAAATTCTACAAGACTGCCATAAGACCAGAGTTGCTCCATAGTACAGAATGTTGGGCTTCTAAGAAGGAGCACATTAAAAAGATGGAGGTTACAAAAATGCACATGTTAAGATGGATGTGCGGGAACACTCTAAGAGATAGATCAGAAACGAGGTTATTCGTAAGAAAGTAGGTGTGGCAGGCATTGCAAACAAACTAAGAGAAAATCGTCTGCGTTGATTTGGGCATGTAAGACAAAATTCGAGGGTGCACCGCTACAAAGAGTGGAAGAGTGGGATGGAGGGGTTAAACGAGGGAGTGGGAGACCGAAAATGACTTGGTTGGAAGGAGCTAGGAAGGATATGAAGTATATGGACTTGCATGAGGATGAGGCATTGGATCGTAAAGGATGGAGGAGGAAGTTTTTTGTCGATGACTACACGAAATAATCACTTTTGGTTCATGTAGCCGACCCACTTATGGGATTAAGGCTTTGATTGATTGATTGATTGTTCGGAGAGCCATAATGGCGAATGATGAGAATTGATCCTCGAAATAGGAAGATAATGAAGCTCTAACCAACTAAGCTATCCCTCACTCTCAGGAGTGAGTATAATTATTTATCTAATTAAAATCAAACCATATTAGTCCAAACTAGTAATAATGCTCATATCATATATATTTTTTTTATTAACATCCTTTAATAATTGTCATGTGTACCGATTTTTGTCCTTCCCAATTAATTGTCTTGTTACCTTATATGAAAAATTTGCTTAACTCTTTTTATCTATGTGATGTGATCGACTCTCACTACGTCACTAACTACTCTCTCTGTTCCATAATGTTAGTCTCATTTACATATATCGATGCAAGTCTTTGATCGCAAATATCTTTAATCTCACACTAGAAAAAATTATTAAAGTTAGATATTAATAATGTGTTTTCCAAGACGAATAAATTATTTCTCATATGACTATGTTTGTTTGTATATATACAGTGAAATTAAGAAATTCCCTTTCATTTTTAATAGTCAAAAGATTTTAAATGGGACTAACATTATAAAATGGATGAATGGAGTATCTCATTTTCACTCATGAAATTCTTTCTCCATATACCAATTTGTATTAACATTTTTTTTATTTTACTATATACATAAAAAGCCTACATTGCCCTACCATGTCTATAATTAAATAGAGGGCTGGGAATAGTTATTAGGGAGCGTTATATTCACCTTAAAAATGAAAAGAAAAATGTTTAAAGGCCAATCAAGTGTAATAATAAGAGTTGATCATGCATGTGCAATTTGTTATAAAAGTAAGTTGAAAATCAAGGCTAATTAAGTATAACAAAGTCTTATCTCTGTTGTATAACTGAAGAGGAGGGGGGTTGTGATGTCCACCTAAAAAGACCACAACACCCTCTTCCTTTTAAATTGTAATAAAGATTTTACTTTTAAAAAAGTAAACCAATTGGCAAAAAAGGAAATTATCAATGGTGCTCTTAAGTTTTTTATTTTTCTCAATGTTGAACAGCAAAAATTCCAATTATCTTTGGTAATCAAGAATTATTAGAATTGATTAATCATAACATTAATGATTTATTTTGGTTAAAACTATAAATTAGGGTTAGATTTTTTTTTATTATTTTTTTAATAATTAAATTATTTTCAAAATAATTAAAAAAAACACCCAATCCTCAACAGCCCAGCCACCCCCGCCCTTCACCGCCCCCGGTGCCGGCGTGCCTATACCCTTCCTCCTCGGCGCCGTTGGCGCGCTGAACCTCCCTCCCCCGGTCGCATCTCCCTTCCGTCGAACCACCAAACCCCAACCCGGAAACCCCTCTCCCTCCCCCACGAAATCCCCTAAAACCATCACCTCACCCTTGAAAAACCCTAACCGGACCTCCCTCACCATCGGTAGGGTTCCGGTTGGGGTTTTTTGAGAGTTAGGGATGGGTTTTAACGGATTTGGAGTTTTGGTGACGCTTCAACGAACAAAAAACTTAAGGTTTTTGCGATTTTCAGGGATTCTAATCCCTCTTGGAATTGAAGAAGAAGAAGAAGACGAAGTAGAGGAAGTTTCATCAACATGTTTCTTGATTTTCCGAGTTAATTTTAAACCATAGATTTGGGGTTTCGACAGGAAATCAGAGGGGCTGAGATGTGGTTTCGGAGAGAGTGTGACGGTTGGTGCTTGGTGGTTAGGTGAGGGGGGATGCCGACCGGGCCAAGGGAGGGCCGAGGAAGGTTGGTGCGGCGCTGGCGTTGACGACGCCGTCGGAGGGTGGGGGGTCTGGGGCGCGGCCTGGAGCAGTGGGGATTTGGGAGCAGTAGGGTTTTTTTTTTATTTTATTAATAGTTTAATTGTTTAAAAAAAAAGGAAAATATGATTTTCAAGGATATATTAGTCAATTCGTCTTTAGTTAACTATGATTAGGCTTATATTTATATATTAATCTCATTCATGTCACCACTGAATTAATAACACAAATAGTTGATTAACAAAGATAATTTGATTTTTTTTTTGCTTTTTACCATTGAGGGGCAAAAAAAAACCCTTAAGAGCACCATTGAGAATTTCCCAAAAAAAAAAAAGAAAGATTAATTATTCAGTAAAGAATTACCTAAAATAAAAATCAATTACTTGAATTAGGTCCAAAAATTAATAAATTACATCATTTATTTTATATTTATACAATCAACCAATTAATATATAATTCTAAATTTTCAATCAATCAATTAATTTATACAATTACAACCATCATCTATAAATTATTGTACGCATCACATGCATATAGGGCTTATGGTAACGGGTATGGGGCCAATTTGAGGTGGGTATGGATATCCAAATAGGTGGGCGGGTGCGGATGGATATTAGCTTCTACCCGATGGGATGGGTATGGTTGTGAGCATTGTTCTCACCATGGGTGGTGGGGTGGAGATGTGTATAAGATTTTTAGGCGAAGCTAGGTGTGGAGGTATCATCCTCCACATCTGACCTGCCCCATTGCCATCTTTATATGTTACTCTGTACCAAGCTAAGTTTGGTCTAGTGGAACGATTGCATCTTCTAAGTTCTAACCTTGAGGTTAGGGGTTCAATCCTTACTAGTGACATTTTAATGGTAGGGATTCCTAATCTTTTCGACTTTTCCCCCTCACTCTCAGGCCAAAATAGAGAGGAAGTGAAAATTGGGAATTTTAAAATTCACTCATTAAGACCCTATTCATTTCACCTTACAAAAAATAATTTCATTTCAGAAAAAATAATTTCAATTTAGTAAAATTAAGTTAGTAACTTTAAACAAAAAATTTAATAGAATCAATAAAAATAATTTCAGTTCAGCAAAAATAAGGTGAAGTGAACATGGCCTAACAACCCAAACAAGTTTCTAAAATAATTTTCCATAAAATGCAATTTTCTACGGGAATTTAATTCCCATATCAACCAAACGAGTTATTTTTTTTTTATTAAAACTTATTATGTCAAATATTTCATTTAAAAAAAAAAAATTCAGCTTATTCCTACTCCCAATAAGATTTGCTTGCTAAATCATACTGGATTGACTCGTTTCTATCAGGATTCTAACTTTTTTTTTTGAAAGAAAGAAATCAGGATTCTAACTTACTGAATCTCTTATACTTTTCTAACAAAAAAAATGACCCATTAAAATATTTCGAAGTAAATGACGTGGCAGCATGTACAAGTTGGTGTACGAATTTTGAAGAAAACTCTTCATTTGTTAATTTATTAATTAACGTATTACGCAATCACCTCTCTCTTTCTCTCTCCTCCACCCTTTCTGCTTTCTCTCTCAACAATCAAACTTTTGCAGGAGCCCTAAATTGGAGCTCCAGAAATTAGAAAATTAAAAAAAGGGGGTGTTTTGGGTCGAATTTGGAGGGTTGAATTTATTATTATTAATAAAAATGGACCAAATTTTTAATAAGGTTGGATCTTACTGGTTGGGTCAAAAAGCCAACAAAGAGTTCAATTCCGTCGGCGATGACATTAATGTAAGCTTCCCCTTTTAATCTTCTTCATTTTTTTTGGTGAATTCAATTCCTGGGTTCTTCAATTTGACAATTTGATTCATACCCTTGTTAATTTTATACTTAATTTTGGACCCCTTTTGCTTAATTTTGTTGATGATGTTATTAGCAAGCTTTAATTTGGATTTCTTTGGATATAGTTATTTTGTTTCTGAATTATGAATGATTTGGTTAATTTGTGAATTTGGTGTAATGGGTTTATTGAATTTTAAGATGTTGAAGAGCTGATTTGTTTGATTTGGTTTATAAATGGTTGGATTATGATTTACGCCACTTATCTTTAGATGTTGAAGAGCTGATTGTTTTGTTTGAGTAAAACGCCTTATCTTATTTTGCATTTATTGTTTTCATCTAGTTGAATTACTGATCTTAATTACTGTTGTTGGCTGTCTTTGATACGAACAATATAGTGGCAAGTATAGAATATTTAGATGTGAAGCTTTTCAATAGTTCTGTATCCTTCGTCTTGAAGAAAAGTTATTCACATATTCTCATAATGTAGAAGCCTTGAGAGTCGACAACTCCGTGTCTCCGTGATTTTCAAAGAGTTCAGAAAAATGAGTGTAATACTTACAAAGTTGTCTTAGGAACTCAACTTCTAATTCATTGTGTGCTGATCAAATTCATTGTTATTGCACAAAAGAACAAAAAGTTGGAGTCCATAAAGTAATATGGAGTGCTTCATATGCTTTTTATGATGCTCTAGATACACCACCAATGCGCTATTGGAGGTTGTTTATATAGTGCATTATATTACTGTATTGATCACTTAAGTCTATCTATTAAATGCAAGATACAACTCTATCAAGAATCTATTTAGTTTGTATAGGTGATTCATGATTTGAGTGATTTATATGCTTCAGTTCTTTCGAGTAGAAATAATTGGCTAAATTGTGTTGATTGCAATATATGATAGTATCTCTAGAATATCAATACCAAGTCAAGGTTCTGCTGTTATAGGTTTTCAAAGCAGCAAAGTACTCTGTAAAACTTTGGAGGTGCACAATTATCTTTCCAAAGTCTTCTCATTTAGAATGAAGGGCATGATTGTTTTGGATCACTTAAATTATTAAAATGGGGCTACATTAACTTTTCAACACTACCCAATACTTTTAGATAGATTACGTTGGTGTAAGGAGAAGTCAAAAGTACGTAGCCTCACTTATGCAATAACAGTGAGATGGGTTGCATTAGATCCTAATTTGACACACCACGTCATTTGCGACTCCACAATTAATAAGAAACACAGTATTGATCCATTTGGTTTATTATATTATGATCTCGAAGTTACTGAAATTGAACCTATCATGTATACTAGAAATGGAAATGTAAAATGGTCAAATCTAGATTGTTCTTAAGATCTGGTTCTATCATACTGGTATTTGGAATGTATATGAGCTAATTGGGTTATCATTAATTCTAGTGGTGTTCTTGCATGTAAATTATGATTCCTATATTATATTGAAGGTTAAATTTGCATGAAGCCATTGAAAAAGTAAATTCAAAGCCATTTCTGAGTGCTAAAATTGAGTTGTAAATATATGAATTTAATAAATTTAGGTACTTTTGTTAGGGATTTATGTGGGAAGATATTGAAAAACAGCTCCAAAATTTTTCCATTTAAAACTACTTTGCATGTTAACCTCTAGTACTAGCAAATTAGTGACAAGTGTGATTCAATTTGTGTAGAACATTGCGACGGAAAGTGGTTTATGCAATTTTTTTTAGCTTGATTGCTTTGTGAGGAGTATTTTAAATCAATACTCAACCATTTTTTACAACATTGCTTCTTTCATCAGCATTTGTACCATTTTTCCGCTTTCTCTGCTGCTTTGTAATATTGCCTTGAGGGGAAATTATCTTCTCATTGTTATCATCAGTCTTCCTACGGTCTATAAATTTCATAGTGGGTTAGAAATTCACTAAGCAGAACAGCTATTTATGGAAAAGCTGATTGAAGGTTATCATGTAGACAACTAGACACTGGTCAATACTACGAGGACACCATGCAAACTTTAAATAAAAGCCATATGCCATATAGAAGTTCAAAATACCAAAACAATTTATAAAGTATTTACCAAGATAAAGTGGTGGAATAAGATATACTATGCCGTATACAGTTCCAATGAATGTTCTGATAGCTTCCTTGTGCTTCTTTAGATAAGTGAAAAGGTGTTGGAGGGGATTTGTAGTACAATCAGCTATATTTTGCGTAGAGATAAATGAAAAGTCATTATGCGAAGGGTTTTCCAACCTGTAAGAAACCAGGCAGATTATAGTTTAAGAACAAAAACCATGTGCAATATGTCAAAATTTTAAAAGGGGTAATTGTAAACGGAGGAAAATCTTTCTACGAGTAGTTTCAAGGCTTTACACCCTAATTGTGGTGGAAAATTATATTATCCCCTTGATTGTTGAAAGAGAAACATTTTTCGTGCCTAAGGTCTATAAGTGTAATAAAATTAAGTCACTGGTAATTTGTAAATCAGATGCTGAGTTCTTAGCAGTAATAGCCAAATAGGACAGGCTTCAAGCAATATCATATTTTATGAAAAAAGTCTTATCTAATGCCTGTCTAATATCAATGCAAGTTCCTTACATAGATGTTCTCATCCCTTTACCATCATTTATAATGGCAGTGGTCGTAGAACTTGCACCATGTCATCTTATGGAGGCTCTTGACTCAAATCTGGTGTGGCTGTAGTAATGCTGTCTCACTTGATTTGGCTATTTATTAAGTAATCGCGCTACAGATATTGCAAATATTAGCATTATGGTATAAGTACAATTCTCTCTTAAGTAGAGTTGATTGCAAGTGAAGAGATTTCTTTCTCCTTTTCATGGCAGTACAGAATATTGTTCATAGAGACTTCGAAACCTTCATTACAACAGTTAAATAGCTGTCTCAACTAGTCTAGCAGCAAAATCTAGGAAGGGCAGCATAGATCTCTCTCTCGAACTTGAGTATGTTGTTGGACAAGAGCTAGGAGCTAGTAACTTGTACGGATTTTTGGACATTGAATGAAGTAAAACAAACTTTAAACTACTCTTATGCTCATATCTCCTCTTTCATCTCTTTGCATGAGGGTATCACAAGTTAGTATTATTATTACGAGCTATGTATCTAAGGTCAAGTTGTCAACTAGGTCTTTTATCTTGATGTGGTGATTGATTTTTATACACGTTTTGTGTTTTATGTATGCAATATATACTTAAACTGGAATGTTTAAGGTCTAATGCTTGCTTGTTTTCTGTAATTAGTCTCTGGGAAGCAGCATTGGAGATAGCACCAAATGGATAGTCAACAAACTTAAAGGTTTGGAATGCCTTTACATGCTCGGTTTTGTAATTTCTTCTGCTCTAAGTTTTTGAATTTGCTTTCCAGCTTGAGGCCTTACTTTGGTTCCTGTTTCCCTTGTATGTCTTATTTTAAAATGAATATGTTGTGCTGCTTCATGTGCTACAGATGGATTCCATTGCTTTCTGCCTTCTGACATTTTCTATCTCATGCTAACTATACCATGCACTCTTACTTATTGAGGTGAAAACATGTTTGCACAACTGGCGTCTAATGGTCAAGGGGACTGGATCTGGGGGAAGGGGCGGGGGGTTAGAAGGAAGGACCCTAGCATCAGGGTTCAGATTATAGTTTGTTCTACAATATGGACACCTGAACACGGAACACCTAGCAAGCAACAAAACTGCTTTTCTTTCCTAGCCACCCTCCTCCCTGGCCCTATAAAGCAAACCTTTGCTTGCCTAAAATTTTAATGTGTCATTGCTTTCATGTTTTCTTTTTATTATATGTATGGAAACTTTATGTTGGTTTATATTGCCACATTTTTTCAATTATAATATTAGAGTAAGAATCGATTTACTTGAAGCACTCAAAGGTAATGTGAGATAATGTACCTGTAATGTGGCAATCTGTTTCTACCTAGAATGTGAATTTTGAGCGAGCTGATTCTTCTTTATTCCCTTATTTGTTAATTATAAGACTCCGATACCTTTAAGGCATCATTTGATTTTAGAGAGTAACGAGTTAATTTTGCAGGGAAGATGCAAAAGCCATTACCAGAGTTGCTAAAGGAATATGATTTGGCAATGGGAATCTTCCCAAAGGATGCCACCCACTATGAGTTTGATGAGAGGACAGGAAAACTTACAGTATATGTACCTCAAGTCTGTGAAGTGGGCTACAAGGACTCATCGGTTTTGCGATTTTTTACCACCGTTACTGGGTACCTTGAAAAGGGGAAGCTTGCTGAGATAGAGGGTTTGAAGACAAAAGTAATGATCTGGGTTAAAGTGACTGCCATTACTTCTGAAGGTTCAAAGCTCCATTTTACGGCTGGAGTGAAGAAAACCCGCAGTAGGGAGGCTTATCAGGTTCTTCGGGATGGAGTAGGTGTAGATAAATTCTGACCTGAGCTCAAATGACATGATATATGTTGCTTGGAATCTTTATCCAATGTAATGTAACTGCGAGTATGTAATGTAACTGCGAGTACATCTAAATGTAATTTGAACCTCTAGATTGTTGTTTGTAACTGAAATGTGCTTATGCCTGTTCCGCATATGCCAATTTTATGTATGGATAAACGAGCTCTTTCTCTGCCATAATTTTGGCCAATTTTTGGCACATGATCCTTGACTAACTATTGTTGATATGTAGGTGTACTGCAGGAGAAACAGGGTGAAATTCGCCCTTCAGTGAATGTAAATCAAAATGGTTTACTATTTTGGTTTTTCTCCGCTTAACCATATAAATTATTTACCTCAACTTCTATTTCAACAAGGTAAAGGCCTTTTTTATGTTTCCTTTGAGTACTTCTTTTCCCTTTTCGGATGAGCTTAACCATTTAACTTGAGTTTGTCAATGGGCTATAAATTTAGTACTAAAGTGATTAGGAAAAGAAATCCTATACTGTTAAAAATAACAAGTTTTGGTTTAAGACATAATTATAAGTTCTAACTACAACTTTTCACACCCTTAATTGAGTTAATTTCTAAAAAAAACAATATGTGCTCTGACTGCTCTCGCTCTTAAAAATGTTAACCAAAAAAATGTTTGAAATTTTATTCTCGTCGAAAAGAAAAATATGATGGGGTGAGAGAGGCTCAGCTCAAACTCTCGACCTCAGGATCACTCAACAAGCTATGAGACCTACGCGCTAGCCAACTGCGCCACCACCCCTTTCTGTTTACTTGGCTTTTCATAATATTTACAATGAATAATATATTTGGTTCAAAAATAAAATTCAAACCTGCACCAGCCGGGAACCGAACCCGGGTCTGTACCGTGGCAGGGTACTATTCTACCACTAGACCACTGGTGCTCTGATACTTAAGCATTTCTCTATTAATTAATTGTATGTGGAGGAGTTTTTGCTCATAGTAATGGTATAGCTTGACTTTAGACACGAGTACTAATTTTAATTATTGCTTCTAAATAATTTTTAAAAAACGAATATTATCAAGTAAAATGTTGTTAGATACGAAGTACGCATTATTAAAATATCATTTTATTTTAATAAATCTTATTAGCATGATTATATTTAATCAAATGTAATAATGGTATAATTAGTACATTAGCAAGTGTGTCAGTTATTATAAAACGGATGAAATATTATTCAAAAATAAATTACGTAATCAAATAACTTTCGTTTCGGATAAACTTAAGAAAAAAGGATTTAATTGCTACTAATCACTTGGGAGGACGTAGAAAGGCCGACAAAAGAGTCGAGGAGGTTGAACATGGAGAATAACGTAAAATAATTGATAAGCGTTACACAATCATGCATGGATAATAATCAACAAAGATTGAGAGATGTTTTGGTAAGCATAGTTGAAGATGCTATTTACACCGGTTGTTCACCTTGCCACTAGCGTCTAACGCTACGGAGTACTTGTTTAACCGTTATAAAATTTTAATAGAAATGTTCCGATTGATAGGAAGAGGTTTAACAAGACTTAAATGTGCCAAATTAGTGTAGGGGTAACAATGTCAAGTCACTTTTTTTTCTTCTTTATAGAAGATATGTGGTTACGAGTCCGATTGGTAAACAGTTTAAAATGGCAGGATTGTTGATGAATTTGTGTCGTAAGGAAAACCAATGTTCATTACGATGGTAATGAAACCTTATCCCCAAATATATTTTATACTTCCTAAATTTTCATTACAACTCGATACTACGAAATACCTTCAAGTGGTTATGGATAGTAATGAAGTTTTATGAAGAAAATGAGGTAATGGAGCAAACACCTTATATATAGATCCGGGTGCACAAAACTCAAACCTTCCTCATTTTGCTTCAACCAATCAAGCTCCTCGAGGCTTTGGTTATACCGAGTACGAAAAAACCAACATCTATGATTAATTTTAAAAGATCTGGCCAAGCATCACCAGCTTTTAAAAAACTAAAAATTAGACGGTTTCAAATGATTGTTTTGAAGCTTAGTTTAGGAAGAGAAAGCAAACTTTGTCTAATTGATTGTTTTGAGTCTAATTGATTCAGTAGAATTTAATAAGGGCAAACTTTGTCTTTGCATAACTTAATGAGGGTTGCAATTAGAGGATTTGTCACTGCATATAATATCACTCTTTTGTTTGTTATTTTTGAAGAAGAGAAAGTTATAAAGTTATCATCTACAAAACACAGCTAGTACAAGAAATTCATGCCTTCAAACACAACCTCCAAAAGACTTATATTACCCCTTGCATTATACGAAGTATTCCTTAAAAAAGATAGCAAGTGATCAATCACAACTTCACAAGCACACTGATTGACCATCAAAGATTCAAGTGATATTATTCCAACAGATATCAACTAGCAACGTAGGTAGAATAAAAGAATCATACAAAAATGTCAGTAAAGACCCCTCATGTGATACACAAATTTTGACATCAAAATGATTTGATCTTGTTGGTTCCAACAGGGCATTGTTCTATATACTATGATTACTATCATCGCAAAAAAGATACCTGATAAGTGATTGGTTTACTTCTTTATTTCTTTGTAGGTTCTGCAACTTCTGTAGGATTTTGCTTAGGAATTGGTTGGATCCTCACGTATGGTTTTCTAGTTAAAGTTTCCCCTTTCAAAGCGGCTACATATCGATCATTTGTGTCTTCCTTCCGCTGTAGCTCTGCTAAATATTCACCCAGCCTCTCTTTATTCACTTGTCCCATCATCTGAATCACAACAAGAAGCCATACCTTCATAATAAATCTCCATTTTAACCAAATAAAGAAAAATAAATAAATTAGACATGATAAAAGAAAATTTAGGAAAAAAAAGGGGGGGGGGGGAGATGAACTTTTGAACTCATTCGAGTGAATCATGTTTGAAAAAGGGAGGAGAGGGGAGGGGGCGTCAAATTGTAGGAGCTTATATAAACCATAAACAATTACAGCTAACAGTACAACTTTTTAATTGTACAAAGATAAACCTAAGTTTTCTTTCTCCTCTCCATACAACATATCCACCATCTTCTAAGTTCTAAGCATTGCATCTCTGACAATTACATATTTTAGCTTATTTAACATTTTTTTTTTTTTTTTTGGGAAACATAGTTCATTTAACATATGCTACCCCATATATAAACTGATTTATTCCACACAAAATAAAAAAAAAAAAGTTCTCCTCCAACGACACTATGTAAAGAAAAAATAAATACTTCAGCTAAACTTCTGGAATCATATAGAGGAAGATGAATCAAACTTTCATCATCATATAACCTAGTTAATGCTCACTTGCACAGATGTGCCCTACATTAAGACTTCTACACACCTCAACAACAATCAAAAGAGCTCCAAAAGCAATTGCTAAATTTCTCCACTATAATGGAGCGGGTCAACATTTGGACTTTGAATTCAAAAATCAGGTTACTATATGAACAACATTTTTATTAGTCCTCATCCTCTCTGCTTCATACAAATATTATCATAATAAGAATGGAATAAATAAAAAAAAAGGTTTTAACTTCAACCAAACATAGTACACCTCTCTTGGGAGTATTCATCAAGATCTTATGTCCTATGGAATGACAAAAACACACCTAAAGCATAATACACCTCATATCCTTTCCTACTTTCAATTTTGTTTTAAATCAACACCTACATCCTCCTCATCTTTCTTCTAGCCTAACAATAGTTTTATTAAGAAAAACACAAAAGCCTGATAATAATCCTTAAGCAAGAAACAAAAACAAAAATAATGAGCCTAGGCAAGCCCTTTAAAAGCCTTCCTATTACCACCTCTCTAGTTTAGAATAAGATTGCTTGAGGAAACAGTAGCACACAACTATTGACAAGTTAAAATCATGGATGGATGTGTCATAGCATGTCGTTGGGAAGGATGGTGAAGAATGAACCGAATTAGCATTCCTCCCATCAGGCCAGCCCTCCTCCAATACAGAGGTTTGCTAGAATTAAGAATGTTCCCATTTAAACATGAGATAAGATTCACTGTACTTCCAACTAATAAAATTATCTCCTAACAAAGATGTTCCATCCATAACATAAAAGTTGCTAGCGTGATAAGTATCAAACTCATCAGCTGAATAATTAAGAATGGGGTTTAGAGCCAACTTGACATAAATCTTAAAAGAAGTCCTGATTTTTCATGAATATCCTCCATTTAACACTTAAATCTTCTGCAATCCTATTACTTTTCTGTGAACTGTTGATTTATAACATTATCCTATTTGCACTCATTTCTAGCATAATGTGACTGCATACTGCAATATAAGCAGGTAGGACCAGTAGGTTAAAAACTTTTCATCCAATTATAACTCATCTGCATCATTAACAACAGACAGCACATTCAAAGTTTACTATAATGGACCATCTATTCATCCAATTATAATCTCATCTGCATCATTAACAACAGACAGCACATTCAGATACTCCTTAATCTCCACCCAAATAAGATGAAACCAGAGAACGATGGGAAAAAAAATACACCAAACATGGTTCAACTACCCTCCTCTAGAATTAAATACACAAAACTAAGAAAAATCCCACAACAAAGTAGTAGATGCAACAGTACTAAGGTCCATCCAATCAAATTATGCCAAAAAATTGAAACTGCATTACCTAATATTAGTTAAAAACAGATTTGGCATGGGTTCACAATTTGGTACATAATATAATAAACTAAACCAAAAATTACCAATTTGCCTAGTATAATTCGTTGGTGGGAAAGAGTTGGGTAACACTGAATTGAACATTGGATAGAGCCAAAGTACTTTCCTATTTCTAAAATAACACCAGGACATTTCCAAAAAAAAAAACAGTAATAATATCTTTGACTATAACCATAGAGTAATGAACAAATAAAGGAGCTTTGACAGATTTTAAAGCATTCAGTATTACTATTTAACTAAGCAACAACAACAATCTCTGCAATCTGCTAGCACTTCATGCCGATCTATCATCTAATGTTGTATCCAAAGTTCTAAATTATAAGCAATTAGATCTAAATCCCATGTTAAAAATCCTTATAAACTTCTTGCGGCCTTCACTCTTTAAGACATGTTCAACCAACTACCTCTCAAATTCAAAACTCTCACAGTGAAAATAATATTTTAAAATTACAATTAGATTATTTACCTACGTTACCTTGACTC